TTCGCAAAGAGTGCGCTTTTGTGAAGAGGGCGCCACCAAATTTTGAGGACACTTTTTTAATTGGCTCAAAGAGAGAAGTGGCCCATCTTGTTATGTACTATCATTGAGGCTAGTCAGGCTTAGGCGATCCTAAAATACGGGTCCGATTACGGCGTGTTGTGGTTCTTTCTAATTTCATTCTAAATTTCTAACTGGATTGTTGTGGCTTGGGTAGCAAAATAAGTGCAAACAACAACAATCGAAATGGAATAGCTTCAAGACCAGGTTTGAGGCTTGGTCTGCACGGTACTAGATTCTAGATCTAGATCTAGATCTACTCGTTTTGAAGCTAAATGCAATGCTTTTCTCTTTAAAAAAAACAGTACTGGATTCTATGAAAGAGAAATTCTAGATTATAGATCTATGATTTGATTGATCGGCATTGTTTGTCATTGTTGTGTCTGTGACTGAGTGTGATACTTGGCCGGCGAGGAATTTCTCTCTTCAGGCTAATTTGTGACACCGACACTGTCTAATCTGAACTGACAGGGTTGAGACGTTGACAATCGAAGTGCTCAACAAAGTTTTAACTGTGAATCAACGGCAAGTTGCTGCAATTTTAGCAGGTTTTGACTGTGCTTGACTTTGAAGTTCATTCAGCGAGTATACTGAGGGTAGATCTAGACTAGTGGGTAGTGACTGGGAGCCATAGAGAGCCAAGTCAAGAAGAGGTCACAGTTGCTCTTTCACTCACTTCCTTGTTAATATTTGTTGTCCTTGTGAGAGGCTTAGGCTTTCACTTTGGGAAACATAAATTTTGCCAACTTGATCTGAATAGCCTACTGAATTGAAACCAGAAATGCAAAAGCCCTTGCCACCTTCGATCACGTCTGCAGAACGTGGTGCTCTTCCAGGCACTACCAAGCCACTTGTTCCTGAGGTATGGCTAACTGTTTTTATAGAGGCTAATTATCGAAATTAATTAGGCCTACCCTTGCCCCACCTAGGCTTATAATTATGAATGTTAGATCTAGAGACAGTGTGCTTTTTTTAGTCATTTTAGAGGCTAGACTAGAGTATAGGTTCTTGTCTTCTTAGATCCACATGTTATAAATTATTAAAAAGTGACTATATTTCTCCGAACGGTTTCCGCTCTCGAGATTTTTTTAGCCTATTTGCGAGATTTAGGCATCATAGTTCATTCTACCATTCTGCGAGGACTAGATCTAGATTTAGATCTAGGAAAAAAGCATTTTTTTCATCAAATTCAATTTCTAGAGGGCTATTGTTAGGGGACCGTACGCCCCAATAGCGCTTGGCGCTAGGGGACCGTACTTTCTGTCTGCGCTAAGGCGTGGTGTTACGGGACCGTACACAGAAGATATATGCATGCATCTGGACTTTGCAAAAATACTGGAGACTGGAGGAAAACGGCCAGTTTAACGAAACTCCTGACGTAAGGAGTTATTATACTAGGAAAATGTTTAAAATATCTGAATACGATTGTGAGGTATCCAGTGGCCGTGGGTGAACCAGAATTTGAAATTTGCTCACGTCGGCATCCACGTTGTTGTTATGTGTCAATAAAAGAAATCAAAGAGAGGGAGGGGGAGAGAGAGGGAGGGAGAGAGAGAGAGAGAGGGAGGGAGGGAGGGAGGGAAAGAGA